ACCAACCCAAACAAAGCCTGGACTTACTAAAATCTGAAAGTGTTACATAAATGACAATGTGCAAATAAAACAACTTTCCTACCATTAAAAAAAAACCCCAACAACATACGAGCTGAGTGTATCTCAGTGTTAAGAGTCCTTGCCTGCATAAGCAAGATCACGGGTTCCAATTCATATTCAATACATTATTAATTATAACACATTAATAATTATCATTATTAATAATAAAAAGCAAAATCATCTCACAAATCCTTATCAGAGTAACAGTTCTGCTACCCTCCTTTAAAATACACAGATAAGCAGCAAGGAAACATTCCACACTTACATATTACACATTACATGCTTACAACTGACTGCAGAAAACTGTTTTAAATCAGATACCTGCAAAACATGGGCCAATTTTAAAGTAAAGCGTTGGACGGGATAAGGGCAGGAAGTGAATCAGAATCAATTTTAATTACCAAAGATCTTCCCCTACAACACACATACATAATCTTTCAGGAAACTAGCCTACAAATGGGGAAGCCCTCAAGCACACACACTCTATGACCCCTGGGAAGTCTTGAATAAAAATGAGGTTCCCTTCTACAGGTAGTGGGTGTTAAAAAGAACCAAAGAGACCAGTGTAGTGGCATACACCTTTAATCCCAGCACTTTAAGGGGCCAAGACAGGTATTGCTATGAGTTCGAGTCCAGCCTGGTCTACATAAAGTGTTTCGGGACAGGCAGGGCCACATAAAGACACCCTGTCTCAAAACAAAACCCAGAAACCTCAAAAACCTGTTGATCACAGAGTCAACACCAGTCCTGAAGAAAGGCCAGCAGCCACCCACCGGAGCCCCACTTACTCGTCACCGTCGGGACACAGGCCGGTGGCCTCATCGTACTTGGAGCAGTATACGTCCGGGCTGTAGTTGAAGGTGCCATCGCGTCGTCGGAGCGGTCTGCGCCGACGCTGATTTAGGAAATGCCAATGGAAACAGGTGAACGGCCTGTGCTGGCTGCACTTATGCTGCAAAAACAGGGAGCACTGCTCTGTCCTAAACTCCTTTAGATACCTAAAAAGACAAACAGCGTTGCGGGCCGCAGCCGCCGCCGGCTGGAGGCCCCTGGGATGCGGCGGGGCAGGGTTCCAGACGCGAAGACCTCCACCCCACCAACACAGAGTCCATCTGTTTGCCATGACCCGGTACCCTCCTTTATTCAAAGCACCCCGGGAGTCACTCCCCAACTCGGAGACCAGGTAACTCCAGATGCCAGGCAGACTCTCCGTTCCCTGACCCCAAATACCACTACCCAGTCCTCAGATAAGGAAGGTTCCCGGACACAAGGCAGAGACCTCCTCCTAGCAGGCCATCCCCAACTCTGATCCCAGGTAACACTATAAAACTACACTCCATTCTCCGCCCCCTTCTAGTCCCTGACCCCTGGAGCCACCCCTCAATCCTCAGTCCCGGTCTCCCGACTCCCGCTCGACTCCCTTCACAGGTTCCAGATGGACTGCAAGCGCCACCCGCCCACACCAGGCGCAACCCCTCTTCTGCGCCGCAGAAACGACCCCCAGGCTCACAACCCAGGCGGCCACCGGACTCTAGGTGCGGCTCCGCCCCCAACCCAGAGGTCACCCCAGATCCCCGGGCACCGTCTCTCAACCTCAGCCGGAGACTGCCCGAGTCCGGATGGCCGTGCGCCCACCTCCAGTCCAGGCGCGGCCCTGAGCTACGAACGCAGGCGCTGTTCCCCAGACTCCAGTCTGGCGCGCGAGGTCGCCGGAGACCAGGAGCAAGCCCAGCCCCAAGCCAGGGATCACCGAAGACCCTGGGCGCCGCCACTCCACCTTAGGCGGCGGCCCGCGCCCGGACGGCGTGACCCACAAGGGCTGGCGGCGGGGGCGCGGGCGGGGCGCACCCTCAGCGGCGACACCCGGGCCCGTGGCGCGCGCGGGCCGCTGCTCTGCGCCACGGTGCCCAGAAGGCCACGAGCGGCAGCCCAGGCACTGACCTGTAGTGGGTTGGTTTCTCGGTCTGCGGGGGGGACCCGCTCAGCGCCGCCGCCGCCGCTTTCGAAACCGACGGCATTTTCAGTCAAAACAATGCAGCGCGCATGCGCCGCGCCGGCGCCCCCGGATCTCCCCCCCGCACCGAGCCCCCTGCGCCCCCCGCCGCGCCGGCCACACCCCCGGGCACGCCGCGCCGGCCACGCCCCCGTCGACCCTTCGCCCACGCGCGCTGTGCGGCGGGGGTGACACACAGGATCTGCCGGCCCACCACGGCAGCAAGTTACAGGCGCAAAGCGGGACACGCCCGTTGGTGTAGAGTCCCCGTGAGGCCCTCTGCGTCCAGAGCTGCTGTTGGGCACAGGTTTCTTTTAGCTGGAAAAGGTCTATAATTAGACTGTGGCGATGGTCGCCCCTTTATTAAATTTGTGAATTTAAGGATGATCCGATTGTGAATTTTGTTGAGCCACTTTTTAAAAAACACACTAAGAGGCTGCTCGATGAGCCCTTCGGGTAAAGGATGTACAGGGTGGTCAGGAATCAGAGTGATCTGGAATTCACAAAATGCTAAATACACGTGGGGGGCGGGGCTCAGCAAGTGCTAGGATGAATTTGGGAGGGAGAACCCAGAGCTTGGATTCACTAGTGTGTAACTGTGTGGCATGAGACATTGTGAATGCAAAGAAAAGGGACCACAGCTACTCAGCTAACAGTGGGGTGCTCTGAAGGATAAAGTCTAAGCAGCAAAGCCACAAGTGTCCTGAAAGGAATGGACAGAAAGGAAAGGGATGTTCAGAAAGGATTACAGAAAATCGATTTCATTTCCAGGAAAATATAAACAGAGATGATCCATATAAGCTATATTTTAAAATACTAATAAGGTGAAATTATCACTTGCTGGTAGGATTATTGATTTCTTCATATGACATTTTGTAGACAAATTCTTTTGAGTTGTTGACATTTGGGAGTTTGTTTTGGTTTGGGTGCTAGAGGTAGAACCCAGAGCCATGTGCATGCTAGCCAAGCCCTCTACCACTGAGCATTACCCCTAGCCCACAAACCCTGAGATTAACTTATTATATATACAGTATTCTGCCTGCATATATGCCTACATGACAGAAGAGGGGATAGATGGTTATGAGCCACCATGTGGTTGCTGGGAATTGAACTCAGGACCTCTGGAAGAACAGCCGGTGCTCTTAAGCCCGAAATTAACTTATTTTAAAGGACTTATTTTTCTGGTTGCACAAGCATGTGGACAGTGAGCTGTAGGCCAGTCCCAGCAAACAGGAACATTGTCTTTTCAAAGATCAAATAGAACAAGCAAGCAGGGAAGGGCATAAGCACATCTCAGACTGCTGGGGAGTGGGAAATGAAAACTAGGTCAACCCAAACTCCAGCTTGGAGCAACACACAACAGAAAGACAACCTAAGGGACCTGTCAGACAGCAGAGCTGGCTCTGTAAGGTGTGACAGAGAGCAGATGGCAGTGATGGTGGAACTAAACAACCTTTACTGTGAACATGAGCAAAGGTGTCTCATCAAAAGATGTATTCATTCCTCTGCAGACCCATGATGCCCCATAAGGTCATTTTTATTGAAGCTGTTACTTATGGGTTGAGGCTTAAATAAAACGAACAGTTTTTCCTGTGTAACAGCTCATTTTTTTCTGAGGGGGAGGGACTGCCCAACACTACTGAGACTTCCCATTTTTAGGAACTTACAAAAAGTGGTTGTTGGAGCTGGAGAGACTGTTCACAGTGGTTAAAAGTAATGGCTCCTCTTCCAGAGGACCCAAGTTCAGTTCCCAGCACCTACACGGTTATTCACAGCCATTTGTACTTCCAGTTCCAGGGAATCTGACACCCTCTTCTTATCTGCATAGGCACCAGACATGCATGTGATGCATGTACATACACATAAACCTAATTTTGTAAATGTCTGTTAGGTTAACTCCTCTTCCCTCAAAAGAACAGGTTTTATTTAATCATTTCTTTCAGTCCAACAGTTTTATCTACCGTCTTGTACATGCAGCTGGCTTCTATTTACAGGTTCTCTCCCTACCTGATGTCTACTGGGCACTCACCCGAAGAATTCACCAGGCTGCGAATAGGAAAAACGCAAGCTATAGTCTATTTGGGAAATAGGGCAAGCATGGCACAAAAAACCATAAACATTTAAGTAACCTGTACAGCTAACAACCTATTCTCCTGTCACTCCATAAATTAAAACACCAGATGTCAAGTTTAGGTCTGGTGGTGCATGCCTTTGATTCCACCACTCAGGAGGAGGCAGAGGTAGCCTCTGCCTCTGAGTTCACAGCCAACCAGGGCTACAGCCAGAGTTCCAGGACAGCTAGGGCTCCATAAAGAGACTTGGTCTTGAAAAATTAAAAAAGGAAGGAAGGAAGGGAGGAAGAAAACGACAAAGCAAATGAGTAGTAAGTGTGCCCACTTCTTTCCCTGCGTTCAGCTGCCCACATCACTGCAGAGAAGCTGTCAGCCTGGCAGCACCAAGGAACCACTGCATGGAATGTGACTTTTTTTTTCTTTTTTTTTCTTCAAAAACAATTCTACGTGAGCTGGAAATAGAGCTCATTGGTAGGCCAGCACTGTAGATTCCTGGGTTCAACCCCCAACACTGTAAAAAGACAGAAACAAAAAACCCACTGTTATTGAAAGATGATTTTGTTTTTTGAGACAGGGTCTCCCTATGTAACCCAATCAGACCTCAAACTTAGGATCCTCCTGCCTCAGTCTCACAAGTGATGAGATTACAGGCATGCACTACCACTTCTGACAAATTTTTGTTTTAATTCTCAAGTGAGAATGAAGAATAGAAGGAAGGAGAAAAAAAAAGGGTGGCAGCAGAAGCAGGCTGATGTTTAAGTCTGAAACAAGACTGGTCTACACAGCTAGTTTCAGGCTAGCCAGAGCTATATAGGGAGACTGTGCCTCAAAACAAACAAAACTCACTTGATAAAAGGGAAGGGGAGAAAACTGAGTTCACTAGACTTTACCAAATGTATTTTCCATTTGTTAGTATTTAAAATAGCTTCAACTGATATTGCACACACCATAGCTCATTACACGTCTGCAGTTAGTCTGCCTCGGAAAGCGAATGAACTGCAGGTAACATCTCCACCAGAACGGCTCTGGAAACATGATTAGGCTGTACGAATACATCACAAATTCAACAGCACACGGTGCACCCAAAACCTTTTCTATGAACCTCAAAAGTTCTTTGGACGTATCAATCACTGGGCACTGGTGTTCGGAACAGATCAGATTTCGAGCCTCCAATTTTGTGCTGTGTTCTTGTGTCTCAGCGTCAAGAGCGCCATCCAAGTCCTTTAAGCAACGAGGACACGCGCAGAACCAGTTCAGAAATCGTCAAATTCGACGACAAAACAGAAGGACGGCTACCTAGTCCCTTCCTCAGCACGCACCCTGTTACGTTCTAGCCCCGTGGAGGGCCGGACCTTCAAGCTCCTCCGGAGGACCTTTCGGCTCCTCCTCGTCCTCCTCTTCCAACACCTGTCTCAATCACTGGTCCGTGCTGCTCTCCTCCCTCCGGTAGCACCATATGATCAGAGCCACGATGGTGAGGGTGAGCGGCAGCACTTTCCACCAGGGCCGCTGCTGCTGCTTGCCCAGAGAATGCTCCACGGTCCAGCGGTCTGGGGTGGCTTTGCTGCCGGAAAATTGGATTGGGAGATTGGGGTCTTCCTCCTCCTTTTCCCTGTCTGCATTCTGAGCTGGAGACCGACCACGGGGCGGCGGATGCAAGCTTCGCGAAGCCCAGGCCACGAGCCGCAGAGCCCGGACCGCTCTGGAAGAGAGACAGCAGTAAGCGTCCCGCAGCCACAGCCGCCTCCCGCCCTCACCCACCGGCACTTCACGGCTCTCACCCTGCAGTCCGTAAGCACAGGACACTGTTCATAGCGACCTCGACTCATACACCGAGGCGCACGGCGCTTTCGTCACTTCCGTCGCACAAAACCGGAAGCCAAACTTCACATCAAATTTTACGACTACAAAACGTGGGTCTCGCCGCGCAACGGAAATGATGCATTTCCTCTCGCGAGCTCTTCCGTCTCGGGCCCCGCCCTGATGGGCTGGCTACTTAAGGGTTTGTATAGTTCTTCTACAGATACCTGAGCCGGTGCGGCGAATTGAAAGTGAGGCTGACTCAGCTCGGAAGAGTTTGCCCCGGGGCTGTTCAGTGTAATGCCCAGGATTGCCCACAGACTTGAGTCCCCTTGAGGGCTCGACTTGAACTTCTCCCCATCCATGGAAATAGGGACCTGAAATAAATTAAGTCCAGAAGCATCTACTGGCTTCTTTGCAGGACCATCGTCCGGGAGGGACTTGGTCCCTGTTCTCCAGGAGCGTGTCTTCCATTCTTAGCGCTCTGTCCGGCCTCTCAGCCTCCAGCTTGGCCAGTATCTCAACTGCCAGCGAGTCCATCTCAGCTATGCTCTCAGGCCCGGAGGTGGGGACCCCTCGCGCCTTAGACGCCTCCTGGCCGGGCTGTCCCCTTAAAAAGGTTTATAGAAACATCACCTCCACCTAGACTATCCCAGGTCCCCAGAATGGAAATGGCTCTGAGTAGACCATAGGCTGACCAGACCTCGGACATCCTACCACTCTACAGGGAGGCGATTCTGAAATTATACTCCTGTAGTTTAAGTGCTCCTGGCGTTTTGCGCTGGAAGCTGATTGAAGCTCAGTGCACCTTCAGAATCAGCCAGGCAACCTTGTAATCCCAACACCATGGAGGTAGAAAAAAGAGGATCACTGGTTCCAAGCCAGCTTGTATTACACATCTTGACATCAACCCAACTTAAAATACAAACAAAACAAAACAAACAAACACCCGAGATCAGACCCAATGGTGTCTTCTTAGTACCTAGGCTGCGTAGAAACTACAGCGAGTTATATTACACCTGGCCTTACCGCAGGGCCCACTAATGACTGTCACTCTGAATTTGTTCTTGATCTGTAAACTAGTCACAAAAACAAAAATAAAACAACAATAACAAAACCCACCTCTCCTTCTATCTCATGGGCCAGACTGCTGTGAATCTCAGCAACCTAGGATGCTTTCTGGGCAAACAGAGTCCAATGCTTTTATTTTGCTGGAGATAGTTTCTGAGGGCACCAGAGCACGGAAAGGGAGAAGTTAAGCAGAAAATGACCCTTCAGCCTCTGACTGGTAGTGATGTAGACATTCCTGGTATAGTGAGGCCCAGTCTTACACAGCACTCCAACTAGGATAGAGGGTGCCCTCACTAGGCAGCATAGAGGGGAGAGACACAACTCACAGTGCAGCAACCTGGCTCCTGAAGACATGAAGTTCAGCTACAAACACTCAGCCCAACTGTCCCATCTTCACTTGAAACTCCTCTGCTGGAGGGCTGGACTTGAACTTCTCCCCATGCATGGAAACAGGGACCTGAAATAAATTAGATCCAGAAGCTTTGGGGAAAATGTACACCTGTTCCCACTGCAGGATTTGTGAACAGCCTGCAAACTCACTTGAAGTGAGGAAGGCTGGGACCTTGTGATCTTTTTTTTTTTTTTTTTTTTTTTCCCTGTCTTTGCTCGAGGTCTCTAACCTGGGGCAGCACACTCTGTCATCCTGAAGGTGACCGTAGCTTTTGGATGCTTACTTGTTTTGTGGGCAAGAGAGGATCCTGGGAAATCCCCTTACTGTGAGCTGTAATCTAGCCCAGGATGGAACAAAATCAGAAGGTCCTGTGACCTGGAGTATGCTGCTCTCCAGTGCCCATTTACTAATGGGAAAAGCCTCATGCTCTGTTCTTGCCCAAGGCACTCTCCCGGAGTTTGAGCAGGGGCAGTGATAGAGATGTCGGAGGCCAGCAACACCTGTGAGTCCCCCTCCCCCAACCCCACCCCTGAAAGGCCCAACCCAGGACCCTGGCTATGAGCTCTTGTGTCAACAGAGGCACCTGTCTACCCAGGTCCTCCTCCCTGGGCCCCACTCCACAGAACCCCACACTGCTACATCACTCTCCTGACAAGTACCTCACAGAACCCAGGCCCTTAACTATAGGTAACAAGTAAGCTAGGGGGAGCTTCCAGAAGGAGGGCCCTAAAGTGTGAAGGGAGGCAGGCTTCCAGGATTGGATACTATAGGGGAGCCAGGCTCAAGCTGCCCAAGACAGCCCATAGGACCAGAATAAGGAGGTAGAGCAAGAGTTAGAGGTTCACCCTGGGGTAGGCTAGCCTCTGACAATGACCAATGAACCAGTCTCAGTCTCAATGACGGTCTCAGATCAGAGGCAGAAAGAGACATCTTAGGTCTGGCAAGACAGGTGGCTCAGTCTGTAAAGTGCTCACCATGAAGCATGAGGGCCTGAGTTTGATCCTTACCAGCCACATAAAAAGCTCTATATAGTGGCACATGTCTGTAATCCCAGTTCTGGAGATGAAGAAAAGGGTATCTGTGGAGCTCCCCAGTCACCCATTATAGCATAACTGGCAAGTCCCAAGTCCCAGTAAGAGAGACCCTATCTCAAAAACAAGCTGAGTGGCTCCTGAGGAACGCCACCTCTAGTTTCCATATACCTGCACACATAGGGCCTACACACACACACACACACACACACACACACACACAATCACATAACTTCCTGGGTCTGGCATTGCTGTACTGAGTGAACAGTGGTCCCACCCCTGGAAACAACATTGGCACCCTGTTTGGTCTTTGCAAATGGTTTACAAAGATGTCATACTGGTCAGAATAGGCTGGAAATCCAATGTTAGGATTTTCAGAATGTCTTTTCAATGCTTTTTGAGAAGAGAAGGTAAGGCACACGGCAGTAAGAGAGTCCCAGGATGTTAGGAAGTAGCAGCCAAGGACTCCTCCCCCTCCCCCCAGCTACAGAAGGAGGGAGAGAGACAACAAATAATCTCCCCCAAATTGTAGCAAGCAGTGTTTGAAATTTCAGGCCTCCAGACCATTGGGAATACTTTTTTTAAACATTTTTACAAGTATTAAGCTGGGCAGTAGTGGCACACACCTTTAGTCCCAGCACTTGAGAGGCAGAAGCCAACCTGATCTATCTAGGGATTGAGTTTCAGCACAGCCAGAGCTACACAGAGAAACCCTGTCTCAAAAAACCAAATGAGCCAGCAGTGGTGGCACATGCCTTTAGTCCCAGCAATTGGGAGGCAGAGGCAAGCAGATTTCTGTGAGTTAAAGGCCAGCCTGGTCTACAGAGTGAGTTTCAGGACAGCCAAGACTACATAGAAAGACCCTGTCTTGAAAAAAAAGAAAAGAAATGTAAGTCTATTTTATGTGTATGTGTTTTGCTATGTATGTATGTATGTATGTATGTATGTATGTATGCACTGTGGGTATGCCTGGTGTGTACGGAGCCAGAAGAGTGCACTGGATCCCCTGAAACTGGAGTTAGGTACAGTTGTAAGATACCATGTGGGTGCTGGGAACAGAACCCAGGTCCTTCTAAGAGCAGCAAGCACTCTTAAGTGCTGAGCCATCTTTCCAGCCACACATGCCTGATGTTTATGGTGCTCAGTCACAGGACCCAGCAACAGGTACAAGCACCACCTCCTCGCCATCCTGCTCCTGACAGCATTTGATCCAGGGCAGAGCTTTGGACCCTATTCCTCAGCCACCTGCTCCTTAACAAACTTCTTTCCAAGAACTACTCTTTCTAGTAGGCTCTGCTACAGGAGCCTGGCCAGGAAGCTATAGAAGAAGCAACCCTACAGTAGAAGCTCCAAGATGTGATGTCCCACCATACTATATGTGGAGCCACTGCCACGCCCTTCAGGGACATAACCAACACCTCAGCCCTCATTATTGCAAAGCACACAGGGAAATTTCACAGGAAGCCTAATGTCTCACTAATGGGAGGCAGAGGTGGTGGGAGCCGTCAGCAGGCTTAATGGCAGGGTAATTTATTGTAGCTCCACTTAAGAGCTGACATATTGGAGCTATTGATTTTCCCAGGAAGATAGATACCAGGTGCCCGGGGGCAGGCAAGTCTGTGCCTCTGAAAGGGCAGAGTTCCACTCTCCCAGGGTCTGAGCCCTGACAGTGAGTGGGGGGGGGCAGGGGACAAGTGGGCAGAGTGCTTTTCTGGGCCCAACCCCAAACATAATCCCAGTTAGGAGCAGATGCTAGGACATATGCTTCAGCCCCAGCCTCTTCCAGGGTCCCAAAATGGCAGGTGACTAGGATGGGATGGCAGGAGTGGCCTTGTCCACCCACTGAGTGTGTCTCTCCACTGACCCAGAGGCCCCAACCAAGCCTTACCAGAAACAAAAACTAGAGCTCAATGCCTACCTACAGGACACCTGGTCTGTCCTGAACATGGCTCACAAGGCCTCATGGGTGAAAAGTGGGGGGTGACTCCCTCATGCCCTCTAAGTCCCCGGATCCTCCATCCATTATCACTCTAGGTCTGCCTTCTGAGAGCCCTTTCTCTTTGCTTGGACTTAAGCAGCAGGGCCTTCTCTGGCTTCCCTGTTTAGGCCTCTCATACCCATGCCAGCCCCATAGGCCCTTCTCAGGGTTCTTTTCCCAGACAACTATCTGCTCTGGTTTCTTCCCACTGTAGAATCTTCCATCCTAGCTTCTCTGTGGCCTCTTGCCAGGCAGTGAAGAGTACCAGAATTACTCCAGGATAAGGGCAAAGTCCTTCAAGATTGCTAGTGGACAGCTTTCTCTCAGCCAGCACTAGTGGGGGTGTCTGCACTTGGTCGGTTCAGGACCTAAAGCTGTCAAAGATCTAGTCCTGCTATCCAGATGCCAGACTTAGACAAGGTGGGGAAGGTGTTGAGGCGGGGATCCAGTGAAACTCAGGCACTGGGGAAGTGGCAGCCCTGGGGAGCAACCACCAATCAGCTCCTGAAGGAGAGGGTCTTCCACACATAGGAAACAGCTGAGGCTCTGTGTTCTTTGGTTTCCTTGCATGTGTGCTTGTATATGTGT